TGTGTGTGTGTGTGTGTGTGTGTGTGTGTGTGTGTGTGTGTGTGTGTGTGTATTTATGTACCAGCTGATTGGAGCCTCCAGGTCTACGGGTTTCTTCATCTCTAAGGTCAGAGCTGGAGCGCACTGTTCCTCCTTATAACCCGGAGTCACCTTAACACGAGCACTGCCCCTAAAACACACACACACACACACACACACGGGGAAGAACAACATAATCGGTTTAGTCTGAGAGTTCATAACGCTCCATTACACACACCATTATAAACACTCATAATCATTCCCAACTCATTCTTATTGGCAGATGATTACAGGAAACCTGCAAACAACACGAGCACATCGACACAGAGAGACAGACAGAATGTGTGTCAGACACGTCCTGACATGACAAACACCGACCTGAACACAGCTCTCAGCAGCTCTGACTCTGTGTGTGTGTGTGTGTGTGTGTGGTGTGGTTTGGAATTTCAGAGTCTAATCAAGGTCAGTGTGTGTGTGTGTGTGTGTGTGTGTCACCAAACCGCTGTGGGCTACAGGTGTGTGTGAGCAAATGCGTGTGTGTGTGTGTGCGTGTGGGGGGGTGTTTTGTAATTTCAGAGTCTAAGTGTGTGTGTGTGTGTGTGTGTGTGTGTGTGTGTGTGTGTGTGTGGGGACATGTCTTTGCAGGAAAGTCGACAAATACATGTTCTGCTTAGAGAAACGTCACATGAGCTCATGGTTCTAGAGAAGGAGAACATTTTCCAGAGTCGGATTCCGTCGTTCAAACAGCATCAAACCTCACGATGCATCATGATTTTGTTTTTGATATTTTTGTTTTGGCAGCCATGTGGAGTTCTAGAAAAAAATAAATGCATAAAAACAAAACATGGCGGTCACTCTTCTTCTCCAGAGCATCCGTCTACTGTACACTCTCTACACTCAAGAGGAACATCAACAGGAGAAAGAACAATGACAACATGACTGAGGAACAGGAAGAGGAAGTGATGCTGGGGCGGGTGGATCTGCTGAAGCTAAAAGAGGAAAGGTCAAGGGTCACTCACTTGGGATAGATGGGCTCGTACAGGTACTTCTCATCCGAGCCTCCGATGATGTCGAACAGCAGGACGTAACCGTTCGCAGCCTGGAAAGAGATAGAGAGAGAGAGAGAGAGAGAGATAATTGATGAAGGTGATCAGGTGTCAGCGGTGTAGAGTAACACACACTGTTTAATTGATGCAGGATACACACACACACATTCACACAAGAACTGCACGCTTTCTCCTCTCAGACTGATGAAGTAGTGCTCTTGAATTCTGATCTACTGCTCTAGAGCAGCGCTTCTCAACCAGACAGCAAGGAAATGGAATGCTAAATGTCAATAATCAAACAAGTGAATAGTTTGTTAGGACAGCACAATAAACAGATAACGGAGGTGAAACACACTGACGTCAAAGGTTGTGTATCCAATTAAACTCTACAGTATTCGGCACAAATTAATCTACTCAAATTAAACGGATGAAACATGAACAGGTGGTGTGATGCTCATCAACCAAACTACACAAGTTAAAACACGAGCCAGGTTCAACAGGGCTGAAGGGTAAAGCACACGCGCTCTGTGTTTCAGTGCTGAAGCGGCTCTCACTCAGACTGCTGTTTGACACAGTATGTCAAGAATTGTACTCAGAGTAGGGCTGCAACTAACGATTATTTTTGTTAATCGATTAGTTGGTCGATTATGTTTTTCCGATTAATCGGATTAAAAACAAACAATTTTCTTTTTTTCTTTTATTGACAAAAACTAGAGGTCGACCGATGTATCGGTTTTGCCGATTAATCGGCACCGATAGTTGATTGCTGGAACTATCGGTTATCGACAAAACTCCATGCCGATAGTTTTCCGGGTTGCGTCCATTGCTGGAGCGGCTGAGAAGGGTCTGCTGTCATTACACAGTGCGAGAGCGGCCTGTAGTGGTTGAATCACTGACAGCACGTGCTATTTGTTTAGACACGTGATACTGCATGCTGAACAGAGCGGGAAACTTCAGACGCGGATTTAAATGCAGCCGACAGAAAATCCTGCCGCGCCACAGAGCGCCATTCACATAGTTTTCCTTTAAATTACATTATATTGGTCCCGAATCGTTGTTAATGTACATAATGAATTGTGTATTTATTTTATAATCGATAATAATCAATTTTATCGATTAGTTGTTGCAGCCCTAAGAGCAATGCCAAAAATGACAAAACGGTCAAAACACTTCAGAGGAACAGATTGGAAAAGCCATCACCATGACGACTGCATGCAAAAATAGAAGGAAAAACTGCGAAACACTCATTATGAACACTGACATCTGAAAGAACGACAGAAATAAAGATGACGCCTACAGATTCAGATGGAAATCAAGAACATTTACAATGCACCATTCAATACAAGACTAATGATGAACAAACTATCACAGCAAGGAGGCATTAAATTGTTGAAAAGTAAAGACATTTATAATGTTACAAAAGATTTGTTTCCAATAAATGCTGTTCTTTTGAGCTTTCTATTCACCAAAGAATCCGGTAAAATAAAATGTATCGTGGTTTCCACAAAAATATTGGGCAGCCCAACTGTTTTCAACATTGATAATAATCAGAAATGCTTCTTGAGCAGCAAATCAGCATATTAGAATGATTTCTGAAGGATCACGTGACACTGAAGACTGGAGTAATGATGCTGAAAATACAGCTGCGCATCACAGAAATAAATTACATTTTAACAGAGATTCACATAGAAAACATTTGTTTTACATTGGAATAATATTTCACAATTTTTACTGTATTTGTGATCAAATGAATGCAGTCTCGGTGAGCAGCAGAGACTATATAGCAAATATGTACTTGTATATGTACTAATATGACTTGTTTTCTTGAGACAACTTAAGAAAAGCTGGTCTCTTTATGTTCTCTTTATGTACACGTGGCTAAGAGGACTCAAAATACTTCAGACACACGTGGAAAGACTGAGGGGTTCAAAACAAGTGGAAAAGGCTGAGAGCGAGAGCTTCTGGCAGGACAGATGACGGAAAAACTGGAAGGAGACGCAGTGAAGAATGTGGAAGCAGAGAGAGCGAGAGAGAGAGAGAGATGAACTTCCTCTAGAGTTCAGTGCCCAGAACAGATTATTTTCCACAGCTGGAGCGAGACGCAGCCAAAACTCCCAGAATCCCCTCAAACACTCTTCAGACGGGCCGCAGCGCTTTCTTCAGACGCGTCGCTCTTCCTCCTGATTGCCGCTTTACTCTGTTCAGAACAGACGGGCAGCAGTGAAAAAGAGGAAGTGATGCGTTCCCTAACAGACCATCATATGCCAATTTGAGCTTCTGCTTCTGCGTTGTGTCGAGACGTCTGATGGATTTTAGTGAATCGCTTCGTTCAGATGGTTCGTTTCGTGGAATGACTGAAAGAAATGATTCACTGATGCAAAACAAGCATGCAGTGAAACACTCGGTCTAGGTTTTGAACAAACCGCTTCACTGAATTGGTTCTTTATAATGAATCTTCTTAATAATCGACTGAATCGTTCAGAAAACTCACTTCCTCAATGAATCGTTTCAAATGAGGTCTAAAATTATTTTTTTTGCATAATAAAGTAACAGTGTTATTACTCTTAACTAAAACTATTAAAACATTTTTGTTAATTGAAATAAAGCTGAAATAAAATAAAATATAAATAGCAGATGATTTTAATGAACTTAACCTAATGAAAAAAAACAATGAAAATGAGAAATGTTGCCTTTGCAACCAACTGAAATATGTTTAGGCTGAAGTACTAAAATTACTAACTGAAATAAGACAAATTTAATTAAAACAAAGTCAAATGAATTAAAACTATTTACAAATATGAAAAGCTTATTCAAAATATTAAAATTACACTAGTACATAAATAACACTACAATTGCTTTGCAAGCAGTGGACTGAATCATTATAATATCTTAATTCCTCAATGAATCATTTCAAATAAATCACAGAATCTTTTTGAAAACAATCTTAAAAATTGTAATAATAATAATAATAATTTTTTTTTTCAAATAATTAAGAGTTGTGTAGGAAACACGGAGTTATATTAATTACAACTCACAGTGTTATTAACTAAAACTAAGCATTTTAAAAACATCCGTTTAATTAAATGAAGCCAATATTAAACAAAAATTTGATGAATAGCTTAAACTAAAATGAAAATGTGAAATTTGGCCTTGGCAGCAGCTATAAGTTTAAGCTGAAGTACGGAAATTAATTAATGAATTGAAACTAAAACTGAAATAAAACTTTAAAAACTATTTAGAATAATAAAGTAAAAAAAAAAAAGCACTTAAAATGACTTTTTGAACCAGAACACTGATTCAGACTGCACTGCTTATGATTGTTACGTCACAGCATCAATCAGGCTTTATTATTTCACTCGCGTTTGATTATTGATTTCCCAGCGGGAGCGGTGCTCGTTCTTCGAACCCTGTCCACACAAAGACTTCCAGGAAACACTGATCAATGCGCTGTGTCGTCATGGCAACTGATGAGAATGAGTGACAGCTCCCATCAGACAAACAATGATGAGAGACATTACAGACTAGTTGTAAGGTTATTATTATTAACCAAAACTGAAATCATGATAAAAAAAATAAAAACTAAAAAAAACTTTTCAAAAATGTTAACAGAATTACAAAAAAAAACTCTTTTCACTTTTTTTTATTTTACTTTTTTATTTTATTTTTTTATTATTCGGCTAGTTGCCAAGGCAACATATCATTTTCATTTATTTTCATTTGAAACAGTAAAATAACTAAAACTAAAATAAATAAAAAATAAATAATTGAATTAAATTAAATTTTGAAAAATATATATATTTTTTTTAAATACTAAAATTAAAGTGAAAATACAATGTTAACAAAAATGATACTAATAACACTGGTTAATGCTTTAGGCCTGTGTTGACTAGTTGTGGATCACATGACTAGTAGCTCAGTAACCTGTAATAGCTCTTACAAATCACATGAATGCAAAAAAGGGAAACATTTAAAAGCTATTTTAATTTTACACATCCCATGTTGACTTTAACATTGACTTGCTGACAACTTTTTTTGGACATCCATTCAAGTAACAGCGAGTAGCTGCTGTTGAAGCTGAACAGAGAGATGATCAGACACACATCAGATCTGCATACGACTGAACCTGTGAACGGCTGCAAACTGCTCTGAGATCAGACTCAACTCTAAACACACCCAGCAGCAGCAGCAACCGAAGACACACATCTGATACGGGAGCAACTATCTTAAGAAACAAAATGCAACAACAGCCAAACGCAAAAAATATGTGGAATATATGCTAAAAAAATGTTATAAACAGCATGGATTAAAATAAAAAAAAAGTGTTTCAAATTTATCTTTTTTTTTTATTTAATTGATACAAATCGCAAAATATATTAGAAAATGTGCTTCAAGGATATTTTTTTTTCTTTTTTTTAAATATATTTTAAAATATAATTGTCCAAAATATATATATGAAATTATTTTATTTCAGAAATCGCTAGCAAATTTCACAAAGAATTACAAAGAAACAGCAGTAACACATTGAGTTAAACATGAAATTTTTAAGTCGAAAGGCTAAAATTGGAGTTTCTTTCTAAAACGTACTCCAATAACCTTATCTTTTCTAAAACTTCAATTTTTTTATAGTGCACGTAAATAAACTTATCGAAAAAATATAAATACATTTTAATGTCTATACTAGTGCTACATTTTTGCCAATATTTTGATGCAAATTTAAAAAAATATACTTACAAATATGTTTTTTTTGCTATATGGGTACGCTCTGTGTAAAGGTCCCCTAAGAAGTGAGCTGCCTATGTAGGGAGCAGATATTAAGACAGCTCACTAGGAGCCAAATGTGAGCCAGAAACTCTCACAAAGCCTCTCGGAATGTCACTCCTTCCTGTTACAGCTGGTTGCTCAGCGACGGAGGAATCGCAAGGAAGTCACTGTACAAACGGCAGCATTCCAGAACACAGCTGAAGAAAACCTTCACGCAACGCAAAACACGACGAGAGACGCCGGCCGATGCATCAGTTTACACGGAACATGATTTGAATTGTCATCAGAAGAG